GAACTATGAACATGAACTAGTTCATTTTCATCTGTATGAACTGAACTTTGAAGTAGTTCTCAGCGGAACTGGCACAACACTGTTTCTTTCAAAATCTTCTTCTGGGTCACAAATGCGTTTCTGAAACTGATCAAAGGATTATCTATCAACCAAGGAGGATAGAAACTGTCTGCCCTGAGAATGGTGTTGAAGTCAGTTGTTTTTTTAAACATGGTAGTATGCAAATGTCCATTGTTATCGTTAAAAAATTTCAAATCAAAGAAGTGAATTTCTGTTAAAGAAAAATCTAAAGTGAGTTTCAAATTGTTATTTGTATTGTTTGAATATGAATGAAACTGTAGAAGTTCTGTCTCTGATCCTGACCACAGTTAAAGAATATCATCTATGTAGCTGCCCCACCACATAATCTTATCTAAGTGGACATTTAGGCTTGAATACACAAATGTTTCCTCCCACAATCCCATAAACAGGTTAGAATGATTAGGTGCTCCCATTGCTGTACCCTTTTTTTGTTTCAAGATTTGATTTTGAAACAAAAATCCAATATTTTTCAAAGTCCATTCTGCAAGTTGAAGGATGAAAGTTGCAGGAGGCTTCTGTTGTAGTTGTCTCTTTTGCAAAAAATGTGATAAAGCCTCTAATCCCTCTTTATTGTCAATGTTACAATATAGTGATTCCACATCCATGGTCACTATAATGACGATCCAATGTTCTTTATAGATTTAATTGTCTTGAATGTATGACAGCAGATTTAACACAAATGGCTTGATGTAAAAATCAACAAATATGGAGGCTGCTTCTGTAACAGATTCATTTCCACTGATTATTGGTCTTCCTGGTGGATTCTCTAGGTTCTTAAGAGACAGTTCTTCTCCTTTGTGGCTGGACTTTATTGATGTGTTTTTTTCTCCATGTGTGAACTTTGTCCTCTTTGTAATCAGATTGGTCTCTCTTGAATTTCGTCAGTTTGTCTTGTTTCAGCTCCTTCTGTAACTTTTCTAATCCTTCTTTCAACTGTTGCTCAAAGGGGAGATATTGTTCTTCGAAATTTGGAGTGAGGCAGTTCCACTTTTCTGCTTCTTGGCTTCTACAAGTAGTAGCATGAGGTCAAGGGAGCATTTGTTCAAAATAGCTTCCCATCTATTTTTGAACTCCAAAACCAAACCAAAAGAGAGAAATTTCTTTATTCTTAGTCCTCCCAGGATTATTTTCTCTCTCCAGTAGTCTGATAGCATTGTCATGTGTAGCTGTAATTTCAGTTCTTTCTCTGAAGATTTTTTAAGTTCAAAACACAGCTTTCTGGCATCTGCAGTTTATGTAGATATGAACTACACCTGTTCATGCTGACCATGTGATTGTTTGCCCACCTGCAGATTGTCTGCCATATGACTGCCTGGACTTATCATGTTACAACTTCTATGTCCATTCTGATCATGTGACTAATGCTACCTTATAAATGGAAGAGCCCAGAGGTGGCCATTTTATATTTGCCCTGATGAAGGCCTAATGGCTGAAACGCATAGGCATGTTTTTATTGTTGTACTTAAGCCATGAGAAAATAAAGGCTTTTTAAATCATCACCCTCTTGAGTGCCTCAGATTTTGCCAAAAATCCAGAATGATTATATGTAATCATATGTTTCACCATTCTTGACATCACTTTACGAAGATAATTACCCATCTACTAGCCATGAAAATATGGAGTCACCATCCTGTCAGCGCTGCCATCACAGATCAACCATGTGTCATGTGACAAACCAAGAAATAAAGCAGGAGTGTGGAGCTGGTCACGTCCAGCTGACAGAGGGATTTACAGCTGAGCTGGAAAGTACACATTATCATCTTAATGCAACAAGAGAGAGCAAGAAGCAGAATTTATAAGAAAAAATTAAAGTAGAGTAGGGGAGGGAGGAGGGACATGGGGGGGTGGATTATTTACCGTTCTAGACACATAAATCCGTATTGTGTGAATGTGGCACAGAGAGGGAGTGGGAAGAGAGAGTGGAGGTTTACAACAGCAGCAGAGAAGACTGAGAGACAACAGCAGCACTGTTTATTTTGTTTAATTGCACTGGTTTTAGTCTTTCAATAGTTTTTGTTGTGAAGTGTTTTTTTTTTTTTTTTTTTTTTTTTTTTACGTTGTGATTGTGGTTCCAAGCAAGGACAGAGGGAGAGAGCTGCCTGCAAACCACCTCGAGGAAAAAATATAACCTGGAGCTGAGATGGACCAACACAGGTGGATAGAAGTGTGTGTGTGTGTGTGTGTGTGTGTGTTTGTGTGAGGACTTAATGGTACTGTATAATCTGACTGTTACCATGTGAAAACACACATCTGATATATGTAGTTGTATGTTCTGCTGTTCGGTCTCTGATCTTGTGCAGAACACAGGGTCTGAATTTAACCTCATTCCTCCCAGCTGAGGTGTGTGTGTGTATATGTGTGTCTGTGTGTGTGTTGGACCCATCAGTGAATAAACCAATCAGCGCTCTCGGCTTTTGTTAGACAGACAGACAGACAGACAGAATCAGTCTGGTCCACATGTCAGGCCTCGGCACAAGGACACCTGACTGTAGTCACTGTCATATATCATCATCCATCACCGAAATGTTCTTCTGACCGTTACTGAGCTAACTCATGCTAACATTAGAGGCTCCATTTGAACCTGAATGTTTTGCAGCTGGCTGGTGTCTGAAGGTTAGAGATACTTCACTACGGTGGCCCTGAGAGCTCAATGCACTGCAACTGAAGAAAATACACACAAACAGACACATGCTGCAAATACTGACAACACAACTAGACACAGAAACACACTGCAAGTAGCACAGACGACGGAAGTGTGGGGGACACTAAAAAGTGAAAAGTGAAAAAAGTTCAATGCGTTTAACATCAAAGTCACAACGCATTGAACAACAAGTGCATTCCTGCCAGGTCCAGTGTATTGGGCCCTCAGGGCCACTGTACTTCACTGTGTCACACTGACTTTCTCTAAATATTTATGAATTAATTTTCCTGATCTGACTCGTCAGCTTTTTGCATCTTTCTGCAAATTGATAAGTTACATTTTGTTTTTGAAACAGGATTTTTCTAGTACGATGCCCACAAACCTGGCAACCTACCAGTATTCAGCAGACCAGCAGAGGCCAACACACAAGGCAACTCTCATGGGGGGGGGGGCTTAATCCAAAAATCATTCACGTTTTCAGACAGCCATGAAGCAGACTGAAATCATCCACTAATCACAGCAGGAGGCTCAACTGAATAAAGTTACCCTGTGAGACAACAAAAAACAATCTAACCACAACCATAAGCTCACACTAGCATTGTGGTGATATGCTCCACAGCAATGCTGATAGTTAGCCAGCTAACAATAGAAATATTTACTAAACACATTTAAATTTTGTTACAGCAAGTTAGCTAACATTAGCATGCTACTATAGCTGTTACTAATGAAAACAGATTTTAACATCATGGACTGACACATAGAGGAGGAGAAAAAACAGTTCTGAGTCCAGTTGGAGCCTTTACCAGCTCGTAGGGTTCGCATCTCAGTAAACCGGTATCAGCTTCACAGTGGACTGGGAAAGAAATTTAGCTTTGGTCTTTAAAAATGTTATGGATATTTTGAAAACAGTCTTGAAAACAGTTGTTTGCTGCTGTATTAATTTTTAAAATCTTGTTTACAGAACCTTTAAAGAAAGTGATTTTTTTTTTTTTTTAAATGTGCCTTCTAACCAGATTTGCGCTAAAAGCCTCCCCTCCATCTTTTGACCATATTACATGCTCTTCATCAGCAGTTGAAATGTGCTCAATTTCAACTGTAGATTCCACTTCCAGGAGCTGCTGATATTGGCTCAAAAGTTGAATTTCACAGTTCATCAAAAACTGAATGTGCTGATGAAGACTTGAGATCTGCTTGAAAACTACAGAGGAAGCCAGTAAATGGCCCTTGAGTGTTTTGTTATTAATCAGTTATGAGATATTCCTTCATTTCAAGTATTAATATTACCATGGTTAAGATATGAGAACAACTATAAGCACCTGTTTCACTTTAGAGGTTGTGGTCATGGGGCTTGGGAAATATGTCTGACTGGTACTGAGTGTTTCTACAGGATATCTAAGGCAGAAGACCAACATACTGACTGTGTCACATGACACTGTGTTGTATCAGGTCACAGGTGATTGCAGATGTCAGCTGGTGTGGTGTGTGGTGGGGCAGGAGAGGACGTAGTATGCTGCTGCTCTTTTGGATTTTCATAGCAGGTGAGTCTTCACTGTGCAACTAAGATTTTGTTTGTGGGACATGAGAGAGTCACAGGGTTAAGTCAACGTTTCATGTTTTTACCCGGGGGCTCCTTTTACCTGGGGGCTCCTTTGAAAACACACTAAACAAACTGCAGGCTGTGAACCCCCCTTGATACAAGTTGTTTGTGCTAATCAAGCATGGTGCACGGTGGAGCAGCTCACTCTGAAACCTGTGGGTGACATCACAGAGGCTACATCCATCTTTATTTTGGTGCCAATTCATATTGAAAGAGTGACAGCCAATGGGGAAACTCCAACACTCAGTAACTCAGTCACGGATATTTGTGTTTATACAGCTGTCTCTGCTGTGGCGGTCCAGCCAAAATTCACAAAAATGGTGCGTTGTCATTGCTTTCCTGACATTTATCTGATAAAAATGACAAACTTTTAGTGACCAAGTGACGAGCGAGGAGAGGAAGAGGAAGAGGTAGAGAGAGAGAGAGAGAGACAGAGAGAGAGACAGACAGACAGACAGACAGACAGACAGACAGAAGGAGATACAAGTCACCTCGCGGAGCCGACTCTGTTAACAACACTCTGATTAGTGTCTGATGGTTTTCTAACAGGGTTGAATTACCTGGTTAAGAATTATTACATATTCAGCTTCTCCCTCTGAATCTAATAATACATAAATACTGTTCCTCTCAAAAAACAAGATGCCTCCTTCACTGAACAGTCAAGTTTCCTCATCCTGGACCATGACTGGTCACAAACCAGCTGGGATGTCAAAACTCCCACAAGTGTTAAAGGTGAGAGTTCAGCTGCCTCAGTCTCTAACACTTTGGATTACACCTCCTCCTCTTCTCTTTTGTCCTACCTCAGTCCCTCCATCCCTCCTGCAGCCTCCTCTCCCTCTCTCCCTGCCAGTTCACATGTCAGTTGTCCCTCCTTCCTGGCAATTCCTCCCTCTGTCACAGGCAGAGCTTGGCCATCTCTTTTCCAACTCCAGCCCCTTCTCCTTCTCTCAGAGCCTCTTCATGGTGCCCCCACCCGGCTGGGGCCCCAGACCGGGCCTCCAGGCTTCGTTTGGCCCTTACTCAGTTACACAGGTAAGAAGAGAAGGACAGGTCACAGTTGTAGGTGGGTTAACTGAGGATGTGTTTGCTAGTTCAGCACCATCGTCTAAAGCTAACTAGCTACATACCTCTGTGTCTTTCCACAGCTCGTATCAGAGACTGTGCTCCCTCTCTCCCCCCTTCTGTCTGCCTCCCTCCTCTCAGAGCATGTGGAGAGAGAGAGGGATGAGGGAGGGTGGGAGAGGTTCAGGGTGAGGACACTGTTCCACAAGCAGGGCGACACCAGCACATGGAGCACCTGCGTCACCCTGCATGCTTTTAAGGAGACAGAGGAGCACAAAGCCTCCTGTATGACCCAGGTGAGGAGCAGCCCATCAAGTTTCCTCCCTCCATCATTCACTTCACCTGCACCCCCCCTACCTGTTTTTATCTGTCCGTCTGTCCTGTTTCCCAGCCTCCTCTGGGGCTGTGTGTGGTAACTCTGACGCTGCCCAGCTACTGGTTCAAGGATCAACATGCCAACCAATCACATCAGGATTTGGAAAAGTGGCTAAGTAACGCCCACCCTCAAAACCGCATCCAGAAGCGGGAACGGCAGCGTGGCGGACATCACCATGGCAACTTTGTAACCCATCAGCATGTTACTCCTCCTTCACTGAGGTGAGGTGTTTTTCATTTATTCCTGTCATACATCCACACATGCCTCAGGTGAAGTAGATTAGGTCTGTGTCCAGATGAGCTTCCTCCACTCTGACACCTGACAGTGCAGCATCACCTGTGATGTACTGTGTTGTGTTGACTGTCACATGTCCTCTTTAATCAGTGACTGCTTTGCTTTATGGTTACACAGCTGTAACAGCTGCACTGACCTCCCCCTCACATGACCGACACTGCTGTTTGGTGAAATTCTGGGATAACTGAATGAAGCTGATAATCAAACATCCCTAACGAGTTTACTGAATCCAGCTATAGAAACACCCACACAAGCTCACAGAAGAAACTGAGGGTTATTCTTAGACAGAGTCATGAGGTCCAGGTGTAACACACAGGTGTGTTTGAAGCCATGGATCCTTGTTTTCCTCTTTGAGCTGCAGGTGACTGTGTAACAAATTAATTATTTTTCCTTCAGATTCCATCCAACTGTTGATGGGGACGTTCCTCTGGCCCCCAGATTTCCACGGGGCCGCATGAGGAACCAGATACAGCTGTACTACTCCTCCTCTGACACAGCAGCAGGGTATGTTACAGCGAGTGATAACATGTAGATACTTCTCTCTCCGAATTCTCTCAACATCTGTCCATTTCCTCCTGAACATCCATCTAGATGTGTGGAGGACCGAGCGGCTCAGTCCCAGAGGCAGCTCTTCCACATCAAAGCAGTGACGCTGAGAGAGGAGGAGGAGAGGGACAGAGGCAGGACCAAACAAGAAGACTCTTGCTTGAATGGACAGGAGGGGGAGGAGCTTGCCTTGGACTCCCATGTTGTGATTCGTTACCACCGGGGCCCAGTTCTAATCGGAAAGCCAATCAGGGTGTCTGTGAGTCTGAGAGCCAACTTCAGTGCTGAGTTTGTTGTGATCAGGTGAGGACACAAGAAACAGGACCAGCCCACTGTCTGCCAACACACATATCCGCCAAAATCTGTGTGTGTGTGTGTGTGTGTGTGTGTGTGTGTGTGTGTGTGTGTGTGTGTGTGTCTTCAGGCTGAAGGTGAAGAAGGGCTTGGTGGCGATGGTGGCACAGAGAATGCTGACCTCTGACCTGTGGGCAGTGACCCTGGAGAGAAGCCAAGGCTCCAAACATGACGTGGTGTCCATCCTCTGCCACAAACACAACACACATGCACACACACACAGGTAGGCCATAGTGACCAGCTGTCACTATGGGTGGAGGCATTGTTCTCAAGTCGATTCATATCTTCTGTGTAAGTGAGGGTATACTCATATCTGTCCACATGCACTCCAACATTTGTGACTGCACCATGGCACGTGCTCCAGATGACAAAATGGATTTAGGTTTTGAAGAGAGGCTGAACGAGGGAACTTGGCATTTCCATCATTGATATGATTGATATGGCTGAGGGAATTACCAAAAGTTCATAGCACTGTGACATTAAACACGGGGTTGCCATGGTTACCAAGGGAAGCCCAGAAGCGTAAAAAACGGGAAACAATAAACAACATAAAAAGCAAGAAATAATAAGAAAGAGGAAGAATGGTTAAGAAACAAGCATGAAAGGAGCTAACGCTAACGTTAGCATTAGTAGAAAACAGACAGTATATGACAGTTTAAACACAGAGCTCAATGTGATGTAGAGACAGAACTGTGGAGTTATTTGTCCTATGATGACATGATGATAAATTCCAAATATCCAAATTTGATCAGATCTGATCCAACATTATTTTTTTGTTTACAAACAGGGAGCAAAGGGAGCGAATAAAAATGTACAATCAAAAGTTCCAAACTCACAATTGAATGTTTTGGCATCGTCAAGGTAACGTGATATAAGTGCTATCCCATTCCTCTTTATACCCTTTCAGCCTCTTGAGCTCACCAGCTGACGCCAGTGAAGTCTGTGAGGGTGCAGGGTTTAGGGGGACGTTGAGATTGGGCCTTTATTTCCTCTTCCATTCTTCTTTTATTTCTTGATTTTTATAGCCGTCTGCAGTCCGTATTGCACAATACCGCCACCAACTGGAGAGAAGTGTGGATCAGGAAATGCATGTGTGGAACGCCAGACGGTCCCTTAATTGTAGTATTAAAGAGTTCCTTTAATACTAGTTGTCTTCACCACCATTACTGCCATCTTTTCCTGGTTTGGATTCCTTCAGTGTCAGTGTTTAAGGGGGTTTTGATAATACTGGAATTATCCACAGGGATTAACACTGGCAGAGACTGAATGAAAAATCAGCTATTGTTTGATGCCATTTGTTAAATACAGAACGGCCACGAACATTTACTCAGCTTGTTTCTCCGATAATTTCCAGACATCTGATGACTAAAATCCTTCATCCAGTTAAAATACATTAAAAACGACCACAATCTAGTAAAAGTTTTTTAAAACTTAAAGTCAATGTTGAGCTTCTCTCAGACAAACACAACACTGACATATGATCAAAGAGGATATGTCACTGACAGGCGACCAATGACATGTTACTATGATTAAAATGACAGATTTCTCTGGTTTGAGAATTGGTGGAAACATTGATGATGTGATAATGTAAGAACACAACTCAACAAAATATAAAACATAAGTCTAGTTATTTTTATTTTTATAACTTTCAGTAACTGATATTTTTTGTGTAAGCATGTGATGCTGAGTAAGCTTTTAATTAAGTACTTGTCTGGTGGTCTAACAGCAGCTGATGCTGAGTAGATTATCCAATTGAAGTAACACTAGTCATGATTAATGATTAACACTGCTCCCTTTTCCTTGGCTTTTTCAGCATTATTCTACGATATCACTTTTTGTTTCTGTCATCATTCAGGAGGGAAATGATTCCTTCATGTTTAGACAATAAATCATTAATGCTCCGACATGACTGAAAGTGACTGGACAGGTTTTGATTGGACTGAAGGACAGTGTGTCAGTAGATCGGACAAATCCTGAACACAAATCTCAACATGAGATGGTTCAGATGCTGTCATTTACAGTGTCAGAACTCTCTCAACTTTTTATAGATGATCTCATCTGTGTGTAATCATTGGTCTAACTTTACCACTGTATCTCTGTCGTCCTGCAGTCCCACTCTCCTCCAGCAACTGGTGTGTCTGTCCGTTGATGGCCTGAGGCGAAGCTTCGGCGTGGCCATGACGGTGTCGGCTAACTGGTGGGTGGAGTACTCTGGGCGGAGCAATCCCCCACCGCCACGAGGGGCAGCAGTGAGCATCTTCTCGTTCGCTGATCGACACATCTTTGGCATTGCTCCCATCACAGAGGTACATCATTTATTCATTCATTCATGTGTTTATTCCCAAACTGAAGGTCATAATCTTTATTATCTTTATAATCTTTCAAGTCTTAAAAGTTCCGTCTAATCCAATCTGTTTCATCATCACCGGGCTTGTTTTCTGACATCTGTCCTCAGAGCAACACAATCATCAACACAGCCATACTGACCAACCAGCCGCTGTCACTTCCTGTCATTGTGTTGGCCATAAGCCGTAATGGGAAGGTGTCAGATGTCACCTCTGCAGTCACGTGTCACTCAACCAACGAGAATACTATCAAGGTGCAACACAGTCCAACACACTTTATTAAGATCAGCCTGAAAAAATACAGGTACACTGGTTAATACTTACAGTGTGTTCCCAGATCTGTGTCCAGGACAGTTTAAACATAGTTTGATCTCAACTGAAGGTCCACTTCTTTAGATTCTTACACAGCTTTCAGCCACACCTTCTGGTCTTCCTCAGCAGAAAAGCTATTTTTCCTGGAGCATCTCTCCATATTAAATTTGTGATTATTTTTACCAGCAATTTGGGCACCAGAGAATTTAAACTCAGTTTATTTTCTAAGGGCAGAGTGAAGAAGTCAGTCCACTTTGTTCATCGTGACTGCAGCTGCTTATGCCAACAATGCCACAATAGTACTCTGCAAGTAGCCAATCAAATAGAAGCATAGCAACAGACAAGCTGTGTCCCAATTCAGAGGCTGCAGCTAGACTGTCCCATTTCAAAGGCAAAAGGCCTCAAATGAGGCAGAGAAATGCGTCCTTCTTTTCAGGTGGATCCTTTGTGGCCCAACATATCCCAAGATTCCGATAATGAAAATAATATGGCAGCAAACACCGACAGAGAGCCTGAGGATTACATTGTTAAATATATTGTGTTACAGCTCAGTTCAACAGCTAATGGTACAACTGTTAAAACAAGGGCCTTAAAACCTCAAGTTTTTTATGTCACAAATTAATCCAGAATTATATTAAATTTTAAGTTCACTCACTGTCCCTAACACCACCCTGTTTTATCGCCAGCAGGTGGAGCTGTGACCCACTTTCCCAAAATGGGTTAATATGGCTAACCTGCTTACAAATAGTCACAGAGCTAGATGATCATTGTTGTGGAGTGATGTTTATGTCCAGTGCTCTTTTAGCTCTGTCTTTGGTCTCCATCAGCTCCTGAGGGAAACATCTGACTCTTTAACAACCCACTATGCTTTTTACAGCTGTTTGTGTGAAAACAGCTGCTGCTGCTGCTGCTGCTGCAGCTGGATACATTAATGCTGCTGAGAGCCATATACATAATACATAATACACAGTATTTAACCCATTGTTAATATAAATACACTGATTAATGCACATTTTAAAGAGTGGCATTGTTATATTAAAGCATTCTTTTGTCACACAATTGAATGAAACAGTTATTGTTAGAGTCTATTCCGCTTGTCTTCTGTCTGCCTCCATCCTAACCACAGGTGTCCAGTGATTGCTCCACCATTTTCGTGGACGGCAGTGAATCAGGGTTGGGCAACACCTGTGCGATGGTTGAGTTTCACCTGGGCGTGCTCAGTGGCTCTGTGTGTCTGGAGGTGTGGGCTCCATCAGTGCCCCTGCAAGTGTCCTTGGCAGACCCCATTCTTAATGCCATCAGCGGCTGGAACCACTTCACAGAGAATGGGTACAACACACCCAGAATGTGTCTTTACTCTGTTGTGATCAATAAGCTTCTCTACATAAAGACATCCACTGTTTCTTCTAAGTATTTAATTTAAGATATTCTCAGCCATGCACTGTGAAACCTTACCAGACAGTCGAGCCTTATAGATTACAATGTTAGCTGGAACATTGTCAGGGATGTGTGGTGTCTTCCCAAACTTCTTTGTTGTGGTTCTGAGATGAGTGTTCTGAGTTAAGGAGCACCATGCAGTCCTGGAGAGAGACTGTTGATATTTGAACTCAACAGCAAAACAAACACAGCCCTCCCTACAGTACTACTTCAGAAGCTTCGCCCTTGAAATTCATGGACGCACGTCACTAAGGCAACAGCACCATAATGTAATTGAGTGTCTTCTTTCATAAACTCATAAACAACAACACAAACATCCAAAACATGATGGAGTAAAAACTAGCAAGAATTAGTGACAGAAGAGAGGACCAAAGGTTTGTAGCTAAGCTAAAAAGTAAGGTAACATTACCTAGCATAGCATTTCAAATTGTGCATTCAACAAATAAATCCAATTGTGTTTTTAGGTCTTCATGTCTATAAAAACCCTTTGCATGTTGTACGGGTAAATACCAGGATACAGAGCAAACAACCAATCAGCAAACTGTGGCTACAGTTGCTGCTGCTAAGCTAACATGCAGAGAGGACATGGCAGTTTCCTCAGCTGAGGACTGATACTCACAACTGTCCTGCTACTATAGCTAAGATCACCCAGATCACACAGCTGTTGTGGCCTTTTGTTGCTCCTGACTCCACATGTTTCCTGACACCTCAGGTGTGTCCTGACACCTCATGTGTGTCCTGACCCCTCAGGTGTGTCCTGTCTCCTCAGGTGTGTCCTGACTCCCCAGATGTGTCCTGACTCCTCATGTGTGTCCTGTGTCCTCAGGTGTGTGCCAGTGTATCAGCGCTCCTCAGTTCAGGTCCTGACTCAGTTCACAGCTCAGGACTCCCACAGAAGAACCATACATCTCTTGGGTTCGTCTGATTGGTTCGTGGATGTGACAGAGCTGGTCCATGACTGGCTGAGAGTGGAGGACCCACAAGTGGCTTCCCTTGGCACCCAGAAGAACCTGATTGGTTTACGGCCAGGAAAGACATCACTATATGTAGGTGATATTTGTACATCAATTCAGTTGGACGTCTTCTGTTACTGATCATCATCATCATCATCATCTCTCTCTCTCAGGTTGTCTCTGAGCAGTGGGACGGTGTGCTGGGCAGGTGTGACATCACTGTGACCTCCGACCCCGTCACCCCCGCAGACCTGTCTGTACAGGTGATCAGCAGCCTTGGCATGTCAGTCTCTGGCAGCTCTGCCCACCCCTCTATCGTCACCACAACAGTGACAGCCTATAACATCCTGTACAACCACCACCAGGTGAGAGAGCAGCCGTTTGTGATGAGTGAAGAAATAATCTTCATATATTGCAGACACTGTCAGTTCAGTGAAGTTTACATGATACACGTATGTGGCCAGCACAATATGCTGCCATTAAACAGCAGTTTGAATGACCTTCACTATGATGGCTGACCTTTTCAATGTCGAATCTTCTGTAACTTTCCAAAACTGAAGGTCCAACTTTCTCACCCACTCCACAACGCGACTGACCAGCTGTGTGGAGGTGAGAGAGAAGCCAGGCATAATATAAGTACCTCGTTTTAAAATGTCAACGATTGTCGGCTTTTCACTCCACCTTTCAGTGCAGCCATTTAGAACACATTTGACGTCCTACAGCATGACGGACAGCATGTCTTTAGAACCGTTTCTGAGAGTCCATAAAGTCATGACATACTCACCACGAATATTTGACTGTGAAATTTTGTCGAGACATTCATGTTCCCCAGAGGATGAAGCTAAGTGCCTGAGTTGGACATTTGTGATTTTGTAAGAATTGTCTCCAAAACTATTAGATGGATGGTCATGAAATTTGCCATTGACATTCATGTTCCCCAGATGATGAGCCTGACCTTTCCTCTAGCACTATCAGCTTGTCAAAGTTTTGGCTTATTTGGTGAATTGTTTTGGTGTCTATGTGATGAATTCCCCAATGGTTAAATTATTGTAACTTTTCTTTTAGCTGCATCACTGGTCAAAAAAGAGCCCCTACCACTGTAGTCATTCAGAACAGCGATCCCTTTTCCCTTCTGATGTAGTCAGATCAACACATGACAACCTCTAAGCTTAATGATTTCGCCTTCATGTTACTGTCAATAAAACTCAACATTTCCACTGAATGTTAAATAACTTCAAGGAAAAGGAGGGATCCTGACTCTGTAGCAACCTTCACAGCTGACACATGAAGCCAACACAGAGTGCTGAAAGCTGCAGTTCCCCTAATGAACACTAGAGTCTGGCTCCAACAGTGAGTCAATCCAAATAGACTCCCATGTTAAAATATCCAACTCTACAGCAGAAATAAACGTGTTTACAGCCTTGTGCAAGGACAGTTTTGGTCTCTATAGCTAATTTAGTCCTTAATGACAACTGTTTATATATCTTACCTGTTTACATTTTATTAAGGACTTAAGTTATGGAGAATTGGGGGCGTGGCCTCTTTGAGTGACAGGTATGCTTGCCACAAACCAGCATGCACCAAAGTCTCGGCTCCACCTCATTGCCCATTTTTGGATTAGTTTGAGGTGGAGTCAGACACTGCCAAGATGGCGACAGTGGAGCAGATCACACTGAGCTTCAGAAACCTGTGGGTATATTTATTTACAGTCTGTTCTTTTTAGCCAGGGGAAGATTTTTAATGTGATACATCAGTGTTGAGTTTCATTGACAGTAGCTTCATGCTGAAGTAGAATAAAGGACTATATTTATATAAGAGGAGAGAAAGTGTTGGCACCAGAGTGGAAAGTATAGCAGGACTGTTGCAAATTAAAACTGGAGCAGATCTGAAAACATGGAGGCATTAGACTAAAACAAGGAAAAACTGACTGGTAAAGTTGGGAGCTGGTTCTCTCTGAGGTTGAGGTGCGTTAAAGCTGAAAACACTTGTCTAACTGTTATAAATGAAGATAAGAAACAGTTGAGAGGTCCAATCATTTTCCATCCATATCCTGTTGTGTCTCTGCAGGAGGCGTCCATCAGCATCTGGCTTCAGTTTAGTGACGACACCGCCTCCCTCCTCTCCTCCTTCAGCGACCTTCCCTTTTTCCTGCGTCTCTCTTCATTGGCTGAAACTGTTGTTGTGGTGACGCCCAGCCCCAGCCAGCGCATCTTTGCCCAGGGTGACGGAGGTGGACCTTTACTGCAGGCAGAACTTTTGGTTTCAACCTGCACTGACCAGCCAGTCACCTCCAACTTTATCAGTGAAGGCAACTGGGATTGGGCGGACACTGGAGGAGGAGGAGGCGGGTCCAGGAGGCTGGCACGGGGATCTGGTTGGATAAGAGTGAACCTAGACCTGGGCTTCCTGCAGCCAGTCGAAAACAAAGGTGAGGAAGGCGAAGAGTTTGAGTTTGACATCTCAGACACGCTGGTCGAGTCAGACAGTGACGTCTATACGTCAGACTTTGACAAGGACAACAGCAGGAATATGAGCAGGGACTACTATGACAAAGTGAGCAGGAGGATGACGAATAGAAAGTGGAGCAAGGTGGGGAAAGGAGGGATGGTCAATCAGAACAATCTGGAAAGAGCTGTGCTGATGCCAAGCCAGGAGGAGGGCTCTGTCTACTTCTCCCCAAGCCAGGAAAAAGAAGAAGAGAGGGAGGAGGAGGAGGAGGAGGAGGAGGAGGAGCAGGGAGCTGGAGAGCTGGAGGTTGGTGTGTGTGCTGTCCTCTCTTTGCTCTGTCTCTCTGCTGTCCTCTTCTTGGCAAACTGTCTGCCCTGTGTGCTACGAGACAGGAGGAGGGGCAGAGGACAGAGGAGGGGGGATGGAAGAGAACCAGAGGGAGGCACAACGGAAGTAGAGGAAGAAGAGAGGAAGAAGACAGAAGGTGATGATGAGATACAGCAGCAGGAGAACAAAGAGGAAGTTGAGATCATTTGCTGATGTGTTCACAAGTCTCATTCTGACACATCAGAAGGAGCATGAAGCTTACAGGTCAAACTGAAGCTGCTGTAAAGGGTGAAGAGAGTCAAAAATTAAGTGACAGAGCAACAGCACTGTGTTAACTGCTGCTTCTGACATGAGGTCAGGAGGTACTGAACTGAAGCTGTGGGAGATACAGAGCTACAGAGTTTCGAAGCGGTTTCCAAAGTGTGAGGCACAGCTCCCTGGGGGGGCGCCAGAGAAACTACAAAAAATAACTGTAAATATCTGGTTAGCTTAACTCAGCTATAAATGGATAGATTTTTAATATCTACAGTGAGAGAGAAGAGTGAGTGTGGGGTGAGCAGAAAACGTAGGAAGTATGATCTAAGTGTCTTTGCTAGTTTCAGACCATCTCAGTTTCCTTTTCCTATCCAGCATCCTTGTTGTTTAAACGGCAAATACACTTGGTCTGTGGTCTGAAGTCAGTGTCACAGTATTTACTATTATTTTAAGGATCATTTTCAAGAGAGTAGTATGCGCCAACATAGGCGGGGACACAACATGCATACACTCTGTCTGTTACGCATAAACAGAGTGAGCTTCAGATGTTTGGATCAGTCAGGTGAACGTCAGAACACAGCCTCAGAAGGTTGGATCTTCTTTGTGGCGTACTGTGTGTTGCACGTTAAGAGACTCCATGGCGCAGGAGGCTCTGCAGAGAAGTGTTCTTTCTTTCTACCTGCATGTGTCCGCAGCTCTATCATGAACTGTTGTGATTTGTGCCGTTACTTCTTTGTAGAGCTTTGCGCAGCACACTGATTCGCTCAGCCCTCCCTTCCTCTCAGCCACAGAATGAGGAGGTAGAAGTTTTCTTCCCAGAGTATATATGGAACAATCATGTCTGTTTCCCCTTCACCTAATTGTGTCCTGCCTCTCAGGTCACAACTCACCTTTCTTTTACTTGGCCAATAGAGAGAAGTTTGGAGCTGTGACATCACTGTTTATCGCATCACTTTGTCCTGCTGCACTTTAATCTGTAAAACTTTCACATCAGCGGAGTTGAGGTCAGAAGATCGCACACACCTCTGGCCCATTCTGCACCTCAATTACACTTTCACAAATATCGTATTTATCGTTTGTCATTGTTTTATATTACTGTGTTTGGCTGTGGACATCGGGTGTCTGTTTCCATGACAACATCCTTTATTTTTTCTGTGTTTCCTGAGTATGCATATGGGCAACTAATTCACCTTTTACACCTTTGTCGTACAGACCAATCAAATGACAGCTTCACCACACCTGGCTCTTAACTTAAAATGTCAGATTTCCAGTCCTGACTCTCAAACCTTTAACTTTAAACAGTGCTTCAGCTGAAACTAAACCTTCATTCAGTCCACCAGGTCTTTATTCAGTCCACCATGTCTTTATTCAGTCCACCAGGTTTTTATCAGTCCATCAGGTCTTTATCAGTCCACCAGGTCTTTATCAGTCCACCACAGTGTAAATGTGCTGAATACTGACTTTGTATTTAGAAGCGACATGTTTAACATTTTCTCTGTTCTTTCACTTGATCTGTGTGTTTGAAATAAAGTCTGTTGTATGAACACTTGAAGACTTGAAGAATTCACAGCCACTCTGGGTCCTGCTGAGGAACGTTTGATGAATAGTGTGTAGAATGTGAAGAGGATGTAGAGGATCTAGAGTGTGTAGATTGTGTAGAGTGCGTAGAGTGTGAAGAGGGTGTAGAGGATTTAGAGTGTGAAGAGGGAGTGGAGGGTCTAGAGTGTGTAAATAATAATAATAATAATACATTTTATTTGGAAGCACCTTTCACAGCACTCAAGGACACTTTACAGAAGATTAAAAACATAATAAAAATAAAACAACAGACAGTTAAAAATAAAACAATGAAATTACAGCGAATATGCAGATTGAAACAGATGAGTTTTGAGTCTTGATTTGAACTGGGGTAAAGAAACAATGTTACAGATGTCTGGTGGGAGAGAGTTCCAGAGTTGGGGAGCAGAGCGACTGAAAGCTCTTCTCCCCATGGTGCTGAGGCGGGCGGATGGCATAGAGAGGTGAAGGGAGGAGGAAGACCGGAGGTAACGAGAGGGGGTGGTAATGCGGAGGAGATCAGCCAGATAGGGGGGGGGGAGGTTGTGGATGGCTTTGAATGTATAGAGAAGGATTTTGAACGTGATACGGTGTAGAGGGGGTAGAGTGTGAAGAGGGTGTAGTGTAGAGGGTTTAAAGGGTGTAGAGGGTGTAGAGTATGAAGAGTGTGTGGAGGGTGTAGAGGGTTTAGTCTAGAGTGTGAAGTGTGTGTAGAGGGTGTGGAGTGTGAAGAGGGTGTAGAGGGTGTAGTGTAGAGGGTGTAAAGGGTGTTGATCATGATTTGAGTTCATAGTAATGGATTAAACAACATTATTACAGCAGGTGTCTATCTGACAACACTGTCATCACATTTAAAGAAAGAATCCCATTGGTGTTTAGTCCTATGTGTCAACACAATGGAGGACAGCTATCTTAACTTTACGCTTTGTTGACAGTGCTTAACCCTCAGTGTGTACACACAGGGCGAAATCTCTCATTTACAAAAGTCTTCAGACTCTTTCTGTGGCTTAAACGGTGGTCAGCTGCTTCCTTTTTTTCAATAGTTTTTGAGATAAGTGAGAACCACCTGAGGTCAACTTAAATGACTGGACATGGAGTATACACCTTAATACACACACCTGTGTATGTAAGGTCCCACAATTCAAACTGCATGTCAGGACAAAGACCATGACTTCATCAATATTTGAATCTGTTTTTAATTAAATTTGACATGTTTAAAATGTTCTTGAAGTGTTAAAAACCCATCTTGCACAAGAATAAAGTTGCTTTTAGAATTATGAAAAAGTAGATTTTTCTAAAATTGAATTTGCAGTGAAAACCAACTGAAAAATTCCCACCACCACCCAAATCCTATCATTCATAACAATTATAAAATTTCTATACAGTAGACTAAACAGACACTATAGCCACGTTTCCACCGCAGGAACATTCAGCAGGAACCAGGAACCTTTTGAGGAACCAGGGTCTAAATTTAGTTCCGATTTAATTGATCGATTCCCAAAAAGGTACCTAGTCGAGAGGGCAGTATTTTCCAAACTTTCAGGAACTTTGGGGATGTGGTCTGCAGTGCTGAACATTTCTGACTGGCTGAGTACTTGCTGCATTTTATTTCACCCGCGATGTTCAAAAGTCCGCGGTGACCGAGCAAACACATTTTCCCTACCGTGAAACAGGCCCGGCAGAGGGTAAAAAAATCTAAACAGGACTTCAAAAAATAAAGGACCAAAAAGACCAGAGTGGCTAGGGTTACCCGTCATGTATAATACAGGATGGTCCCGTATTTGAAAATAAAATGCTGCGTACTGTATTGAATATATACGGGACGCAATTTGTCCCGTATTTTCATTCATGTTATGTCCTCAAAGTGCTGTGAATAATGTAATGTCAAGTAATAATTTTGCATAATCGTCGCCGGACTTTTTTTTGTAATAACTGTATAACAGACATACTAACACAGTGCACAAAAAATAACTGAGTGACAAACTGAGATCGTTTTTAATACATACATACAAGATCTTTATTTGTTTTTCATTAATTTCAGGGACTTAGTCTTAAGTTGAATTTCATGAAAGTAGCACTTGAAGATGGATGGGGTTTTTATAAATTTAAATTCATGAATAATATTTTTTATTACTCAATATTAAAGAATAATATTAATATGATTTTTTACTGCCACCAAATTCTTTGTGGATGCAATTAAAGTCATATTTACAACAGGAAACAGAGCAAGGTAATTCATTCCCATTTGAATCTATAGGTCCATTAATATTTCTATCCATCCAGCTCTTATTTTTATCCAGTTTTATTTTGTTGATGTGTGTCTCTATAATGATGTATTATGTGATAGTAAAATATTTTTCAATATAAAATAAAGGCAATAGACTTTGAATGTATGAATGTCCATGAACTGTAACACAAGGTGCTGGCTGCAGTGTCCTCTAGTGGCATAAAGGTGATATGACATGTAACATAGAGAGGGGTCTATCTGCAGACTGAGAGAGGGGTGACACTGTAAGTTTTCCAAATCAGCCTGAACCACAGGAGATTTAAATATTATAGTCATAGTAAGTAAAAAAACGGCGTAAATATTTTTCCAGATGGATCAAAGGATTGGGAAACAGATGCAAAAGCGTCTGCCATTGCTGTCTATCTATCTTGGAGGTGTGCTGTCCGTTTGCCAGACCTATCCTCTTGTCTGTAGCTGATTAGGTCAGCTACATATATAAATCCCGGTGGCTGATTAATCTGTCTCTGCTCTCTCTGCAGGCACATTTTATTTTTGGTTATGTTATGTCTTAGTTTGAGCCTTATGTTTAGTTTTGCGCTTTACAACACTTGCACTCACATATTTCTATGAGGGGCCGTCAGGGACATTATCTTGAATTACTATGCATATACACATATGAAACTATGAGGAGACGTCAGGGACATTATCTAGAATTTCCATGCATATACACGTATGAAAACCATACTCATTCACATACTATACTGAAAACCTCACACACATATAACTGAAAAGGTTTTATACACACTACTGAAACCGTCACACACACAACTGAAAAATTATACTCACACATACAAAACTGAAACGCTCTCTCACACACACAACTGAAACGCTCTCACACACAACTGAAATGCGCTCTCAAACACAACTGAAAAGCTCTCACATACACAACTGAAACACTCTTGCACACAACTGAAAACTCAGGATTTCAGTTGAAACTGAAGGCGTTTTGGTTGAAACCTATGGTTTTAGTTTGTTCCATTGGTGTTATTGTGAAAGTCATGCTTTTATTTTGAAGTACAATGACAGT